CATAGCTGCTTTGAACAATACAAAGTTTAAACCTATAATAAACTCAGTATGACCTGTAGATACCTGAAACATTAAAATACAGTAATGAGTTTACGTATAGACTGATCTCTAACAATTAGAGCCTCTAATGGAGCACAATTAAAGAACAATGAACTTGGTCAGCCTCCTAGGAGGGCATCTAAGCCATCTGAATTAAATCAATACCTGAGACTCATTACCATGCTGGCAAAGCAAGCTGAGCACATTTCTGTGATGCCCAGTCAATGCCCTGTCAATGCCCTGTGCGTTGGGCAGCCCTCAGCGGGACTTCTCCTGGCTGCCTTCCACATGGCAGTGACTGGACTGGCCAGGGTGTGGCCTCTCTTGTATTTCCATTTCTACAGACCCCCTTTCGTCGGAGCAAAGTTCAGAGAAGTGCAAAGAGGTCAGCATGACCTAGTCACCCGGAGCCTGTACCCACCTTGTCTTGAGGAAGTCACAGGACACTCAAGTGCTCCCAGATTTTCCATTACTGGGTTGGTGGCTCAATTCCCAAGGCCAACTTGGGTTTTTTTTTTTTTAACTGAAAGTGGTTGCTGCAAAGTGTTCTTTTTTGAAACAAGGAAGATAATTTATTGCGAGCGGTATGAAGACTAGAGCCTATTTCTCTATTATGAGATAACAAGACAACAAGGACTGTTATCTCTCACTGTCAGATTTTTTAATATAACTGATATCAAAAGGGGAAAGAGACACAATCAAGTATTTACCCTCTGATTATAAATATTATGCTCTCTATCCAGAGTGTCTGCATGACAAAGAATTCTAAAGGGCAGGAATGTGTTTATGCAAGAATATGATGAATATGTCACCATGAAATATATTTAAAAAATCATGAACACTCAAGCAATGAACGGTCAAGAACAGATTCAATGTAAATCAGTTCCTAATCATATACAAACACAATGACCTCTTTTTCAAGGTTATTTTAAAGAACACTTCTCCCATTCATTCTTCACCAATGTGTGCTGAGCATTTTGGACCTGTTTCCAACTCCAGACACAGTGCTACAGAAAAACACTAGCTCAGTAGTCAGCTCACCAAGCACCTGAATGAGTTAATACTCAAAAACTATACGCCAAGTGCCTAGCACAGAATTGATGCTCATTAAAGCACTAATTACGGTTTTAACATGTTCTCAGAATGACAAAGTCTGTATGCTGGCAACTACCCAAATGTTGTCACCAAGGTTAGAAAATCTAAAGAAGAAGTTCCCATTCTCCTCACCCTAAGTCATCTTGATAACCCAAAGAAAGATCTAATGTTTCATATGCAATCCTGTGGGTAAGTCTCAGAAAAATAAAATTCTTATCAAGGGAACAGAGATCGAGAATAAAATCTATACCAGTCATGACTCTTACTATTTTCTTACTATGTTAAGTGTGCTTTTTCATCCCATAAAGTCGGATCCTCCTTCCAATTTACTGTTTTAGAAAAACGTGGAAACTTGTCAATAGAGTTTATTCACAGTGCACTCAGCTCATTGCTCTTTTTTAAATCTATAGGTTTTGTCTTTCATTGTAGGAGGCGAAAAAACAATCTAGGAGGAGAAAAAACAATCTTTCCGCTGGCTGAACAAAAACGAGATGCCGAGAAACCAAAAGTACATGTTTGCTACACTCCATTTCCTTGTCATTTCATATCTGACCACAGCACAAACACTACTCCATCCACAAAAGACAGCGGTGAAAGGCACCCCACTGCACACAGTATGTGGGTAGATTCTTCTTGAAGTGACTAAGAAATTATGCAATTACATTGCCATGAAGAGAGGCTTTCTCTCAAAGAAGGGTGGTAGTAAAATCTTTTGGGGTTTCAGAGGGGAACTGAGAATTACACAAACCCATCCCTCACAACACTGCACCTCTGGTTGCCTGGAACCTGCATCCTTCCTTAGATCACCGTGACACATCCTCGTGAGCAGATCTTCCAGGCTTGTGTGTCTCAACTCTCCAGCCTGCCTGCAAAGTCCCCCGTCCTGTGTCTGGAATGTCTCTGTATTCAAACAGTACCCAGTATAGCATGTTACGTCATAAATATTGTTGACAGACTAATTTTAACTGTCATCTCCCTATTACCTCATTCTGTTGATATACATCAATTTCCTACCCACAGTTGTCATCAGGAATGGATAAAGGCTGTACACACAGCAGCTCTGCTCTGTGTCTGTCAGCAAAATATGACACCATATCCCTCACCTTGTCCACTGATGAGCCGGGCCCTGAGAGAATGCAGACCACATACAGCAGCCCTCTGCGGCTTATGTACACAGAGTGTTTTGTCAAACTTTCTCTTTCTCTCTCCTGGCTTGGTCCATCTTGTGAGCTGCACACCTAGTAGGTGTGCCTGGCTGTGAGCATCACTGAACTGTGTGGACCAAACACCCAAGCTGCACCATGGTTTTTGTGCAAACCGATAATGTGCCTCACAGAATGAAAGACTGACAAAGAACCCAGGGGGAAAGCCTTTTGAGATCACATATGAAATAAATAGAAACACGAGGGTAAAGTGGAATCAAAAGTGGCATTACCTATAGTATGTAACTGACAACAGAAGTAGAATATCTGTTTTCCAGAATGCCGTGGTTTCTATTACCCACTGTCAGGATATTTTCCACCCATGCACAAATCTCTCTCCAGGGCCTGCTTTTACAATGGTTGGTCATTGTTGGCAACACTGCTGAGACCTAATCAAAATGCGAGAACATCTGTCATGCCCACACAACCTGTCAAAGCTCTGCTGCAAAATCTGAATCTTCTCCACTGCAGAATGGATTGTAAGTGCCACAGTCCTGCGGTGGTGTGACACGGCAGTGCATTTCAAAGGCACCTTTACACCATGAGAAAAATCAGCTGAAGCCAGTCAGTGATATGTACTAGTAGATAATCAGCAGACAGAAGATCTTCCCTGGGCATCATCCCAACACAGAGCTTCAGGCTGCAGGACAGAGCCACTGCCTGCAGGCACAGCTCCATTTTCTAACACAAGGAAACGAGGAGCAAAGCATCAGGATCTGAAACCAGTGTGTTCTGCCAGGTGCTAGCTGTGCATCCCTCTTGCCTCCCTGCCTCAAGCCCCACAGCGCAGCAGTACACACGAAAGCAGCTCAAAACGAGAAGGGGACTTTGTGGAGAGTGAGGCACGGAGTTCAGAGTTTACCAGGGACACAGCAACCAGCATCACCTAAGCACAGCTCCTTTGCAGTTAATCTAGAAATCAGCTGCTGTGTATACAGCTGACAGACTTCTATTCCACACAAGCTCTTGCTCAGCTGTCCGGGTTTTATCTTTTCATTTATAAATGAAAACAGCACATACTAAGTGGTAACTAGTGTCTTTGTATATCACTTGTAAAGAATGTTACTGTTACTGGAGTAGAAGAACAGTGTCCTGGGGGAGCTACAGCCCCAGTCAATCTCACTGGCAGGCGAGAGTTACTTCCCTGTCGGAAGTTGCTCCCCTGGCAGTGTCACTATTAAGGTGCCCCTCCCACGTCCAAACACCAAAGGTAACTGTACACTTGGGTATGAAGTGTCTATGGGAGAAGTGGAAGAGGGAGAACAATGTTTTGGAACTTTTTAAAAATACAGTGATCAGAGGCCTACCTAACAGAAACGAGGGGAAAACAGGGGTCCAGGTCAGCCAAGGCTGCACGCTTCACAGCAAAGAGGGCATGGTCCCTGGTGCGCTTCCCGGGCATCCCTGGCGTTACCGAGGGGACAGGCAGTCCATGGACGGACATGCTCACCCCTCCAGCCCTGAAAGCCCAAGGAAGGGCTAGTAGTGGGCAGTGAGAAGGCAAAGTGTTAGCAGGACACAATTTTTTACACATGGAGGAAAGGCAAAACAGCAAGGAATGAAGAGCCTACAAATGCCTTTGAAAGTCAAATTTTAGGTCAGAACTAGGATGAAAGTCAGGACTAGAATGAATGAATGAATCATGGAAACACCAGACACAGGCCATGGGCCTACAAGTCCTATCTCCAGGCACTGACTCACTTTGAAAATAAAACAAGCAGCAAGAAAAAAAGATCCAGTGGGCGTGGCCCAGTCCAGACCCACACTGGTTTTCATAAAGCTTTATTTCTTTATGATCTAAATACATAGCTCGAGATCTAGCCTGTCATCTAGACATTTTTAGACATGTGGAGGATAGATAATATACCGAGCTAAAATATTCCCCAATTTTCCAAACACACTCTTGGGAGCATCCAGTGCTCTTTGCTCCAAGTTTCCTCCACAAACAACAATGACCCCTAATCTGTGATCTATGGCTCCAAATCTCCAGGTGGGAGGGCGCCCATCAACACTATGGGTGCTTATCTGCTAGGTGACCTCTTACCGCCAAAGAACAATGACAGACACTGTGTGTCATCTATCAGTAAGTGATTCCATTTCTGGGAGACCTTTGGGTAGCAAAACATACCAAAAACAGACTCAACCCAAAAGGATGGTGACCTAGGGGCTCAGTAAACTGAGCCAGGACAGCCAGCTGGTTCACTTACCCTAACCCTTTATGGCATTCTCACTCTGTACCAGGCAGAAATACATACGGATTTTAGACTGAAAAGCCTGACTCCAAAAATTTGAGTAAATACTTTATATAGAACAACAAACCTATGTTGCTATGGATGACACCACAGACCTGAGCAAGAACACAGCCCACTCCCAGCCAGCACTCTGGCATGTACCAGGCGTCTGCTCTAACAGCCCCTGCAGGCAGAGCCCCACGCAAGGGCCCTGGCTTTGTCAGGGCAGCAGCTACTGGCACAGAGCCAGCGGGCTCTGGGAGGATGGAACTGGGCCTGGCCCAGGGCCAGAAACAAGACACGCTCTGAAAAGTATCTGTCGGCTGTGTTGCATGAAGGTGATAGGTTACCTTCAGGGTTTCTGCCAAACTGGGTGTGAGAGGCGAAGTCTGAAAGTCAGGGTTTCTACATTCTCAAGTTCAGTGCTCCCTACCTGGACTGTCTGGTAGTCGGAAGCATCGATTCCTTTCACAGTCACCTCTCGGAAGACTCTTGGCTCCAGTTCTTCTTTGGTGAGATCACAGTGATAAATGATACCTAGAAGGGAAGGGAAGTTTTAATTTAACCCACAGGACTCGTTAGATACACGCCAGGCACAGCTCATGTGAATAGCGAGAAGGTGCCTTGGTCAGGGGCCCAGGTGACACCATTACTGTGACCTGGTGCTGCGGGAAGAGCCCGTACAACAGCCTGGTGCTGGCGCCCTTCCCAAGTGTATGCTACGGATACATGTTAGGAGATTTTAATGCATTATGGAGTATGAGAAGAGGTTAACAAACTGAACCACGGGAACTACTAATTCTGACATCACAGCTCCAGATTCTGCTGAATAATATACTGTACTGTGTACTGCGCAGATGCTAAGACAGCAGAGCTTAGCTCACACACACACACACAATAACTACACAGGGTGATGGATATAACCTAGACTTTCTGTAATCACTGCACCAAACATACAAACATCAAATCGCTAATATTATCCACTTGAAGCTATGATGCTGGATACTGAGTGTCCTGAAGGAAATTAAGAGTACAGGTAGTGGGCTCTCCCTGATGGTGTAGCGGGTTAGAACACAGCACAATGAAGCTACAGCAGCCACTGCAGCACAAGTTTGATCCCCAGCTGGGGAGGTGATCCGCATGGCACAGCAGACCTTTCTAAACGCCACTTGATTACCTCTGATTCCTGATTGCCCTCCACTTGTGTGACCACTTCTGGATGGGTGTCAGGGAGCAGGAGTCCCACAGCTCCCCTGACTGGCTCTTCCTTTTGGGCAATTTGCCTGAGTTTGCCACCCACTGCTGCCCTCAGCAGTGTTTCAGTACGTCTGCCTGTTCTGCTCCCCACTTTGTCTCTGAGAGGTGAATCCTCTCACACCCCTGCACCTCTGGCCTGTAGCCCAGTTCTGCATGCCTAAATAAATCTTAAAAAAAAAAAAAAAAGTACAAGTTGAAGAGGGCAGGAAACATCATGTAGGGCTATTTTACCTCAGAGGTAGTTAACTGGCAAACTCAGGCAAATTGCCCAAAGGGAAGAGCCAGTCAGGGGAGCTGTGGGACTCCTGCTCCCTGATACCCATCCAGAAGTGGTCACACAAGTGGAGGGCAATCAGGAATCAGAGGTGATCAAGTGGCCGTTTAGAATTGGTATAGCTATCGTGTATCAAGAATTCTCAACACCTGGGAGTACAGATAATGGTACAGATATCCCCCACTTTTCAAAAGTTTGCTTTATGCCTTTTTACTTCTATGAGAGATCTAGATTAGTACTTATTTTTGTTGATTGAAAGAAATCCAAAGAGGAATTTCGCTTTTACTAAAAGAAAAAAGAAGGAAGAAATATAGCACGTGTTCTAGAGGCAGGTGCAGAGAGCTGGGGGGCGGGGTGGGGGTGCTGGCTGGGCCCTGCCCGGGAATCTTTCCTGTCTTCCTGCTTTGACTATTATGTTGCTCTAACTTAGATTTTAGGTGTGATTTGATACAATTTGGGAGGTTATTTTTTGGGGTCTGTGAATGCTCAAAAAGTTTCTATGTAAATCAACAGGAATTACTTCTCTGCCTTGTGCCACTTTGGTTCAAGTTTCAGAGGAATGCTCAGGTTTCAGAGTTCGGAAATGTGTAATTACACACAACAAAACTGATGCTTCTACACCAAGAATCAGTTATTTAACCACTAGTTAAAGGTCCATTTCCTGAATCTGTTGCTACTACATTCTAACATTTAAGAACCACGTCAGGAAGAAGTAAGACAAGAGTGATCACTGTTAGAAAGCAATGACATGGTTGTAGTTTGTGAAACAGAATGAGTCATCCACAGTGGCTGGTGTGGAAACAGCCCTCCCACATGAAACTTTAAACATACGCTATCAAGTGTATGAAAAATCAATTTAGTGATCCCAATACTTGCTGGAAAACCAGAAACAAATGGCGTTCCCACATTTGGGGACATTCAAACTGAGTGATCGCGTTGTAAAATGGTGGCTTGCTTTCTTCTCAACTTCTCTGCAATGCGTTTCAACTGTGTATGTTAAAAAACAGCGCTCTGCTTTCCCCTTCACTCCCGGCAATGAGAATACGTGGGTTCATTAATCACAGGACTGCCAATCTCTATTTAATTCTCATACTCACAACTATTTTAATGTACTATAATAGGGAGTATGGTTAATGTTAAAGCAGAGATGTGTGACATGACTGAAATCCTGGCTAGTCTCCCCAGAGGAAGGAGGCAGGTATAATTAGCTCGACTGCTCTGATGTAATTTGAAATGAATGGCAGGAGAGTAATTTGAAATGAATGGCAGGAGAGAAAAGAAAAGAGAGTTAAGAGGATGAGACGAGACCAGGTGAACCTGTGAAAGAAGAATCATAGGGACCTAAAAAATTGGATGTGTAAAGAGACAGCAAAAGAATTTCTGTAAAAGGTGACCCATGTAGATACTGTTTTATCTTATTATAGGCAGAGTCTAATGTTAATCAAAGAAAAAAAGAAACACCAAAATAAAAGCTCTTCAAACATTTTTGTGCACCCTGATTTACCCAAAGGAGTCAAAACTCTATACAAAACTATGTATGTGGATTATTGTGGCTGTATTCACGACTCCCTCAACTTGGGAGCAACCAAGATGAACTTCAGATGAGTAGATAAAAGAACACACACACATCCAGATGAGGCACTGGTTTTCAGTACTAGAAGAAATACACTGGTAAGCAATGAAAGGGCTGTGGAGTGGTCTTAAATGCCTACTACCACGTGGAAGGAGCCAGCCTGAAGTCTGCTTACTTCCTGATTTTGCCTGACATTGTGGAAAAGTCAGAAGTCTGGAGCTAGATCAGAAGTTGCTAAGGATTGGGGGATGGGGGAGAGAGGTGAAAAGACAGAAGGTTTTTAGGGAAGTGGTTATATTCAGGACACATCTATAATGATGAACATCATTCAATATAAATTTGTAAAACCCATAGAATGCACCATAAACAGGAATGCTGAGGTAAACTGTGGACTTCGTTTATAACGTGTCCATATAGTTTGACTAGTGGTAACAAATGGACTGCTCTGGTGGAGAGACTGAAAATGGGGAAGATATGCATGGGTTGGGGAGTGATATATGGGAAGTCTCTCTATCTTCGCCTCAATTTTGATGTGAACTTAAAACTGCTCTAAAAAACCAAGATCTTTAAAAATTTGTTTTGCCTTTTCCAAAGAGTCTGGGAAAGGTTTCTTGGATTTCTCATCCTTGTTTTCCTGAGCCAAGCACCCAGGACTTCCGTACTGCACTATCACAACATGCAAGTCTACCTAGAGTTAACCTTAGAAACCGTCTGTTGTTCTGAGAGCACAGAGCTCACTGGCTCAACCACTAAGTGGTTTGAGCCACAGGGGATAAGTACATCTTGCTCCAGATCATCCCAGCTGTGTTTTTTCCTCCCAAGTGTGACTCAAGGCACAAAAATCTTAAATAGCACGGGCTCAAGATATGTCTTGTCTTTGTACCTCCACAGGAAGCAGGTCAGCTGACGTGCACCTGCCAGATGCAACACATGCCCGGAGCAGCTGGGGCTACAGCTTTTCTTGGTCCTGGAGCTCTGCTCACAATTTCGTGTTGCTGCTGCTGACTGCCAGCATGGACAGCTAAATCCCAGAGACCAGTGCAAGACAGTCTCTGAGTAGAAGTGGGTATATGCATATACAAGTTGACATTCTTGCTTGCAAGAGATCTATGCTAATTATCTGATGGCCATCGTTATATCTGGATCAGAGGCCTGAGTCTGGGAGCCCCATCCTCTGGATTTAGATGTCAAATTGCACTAAGGAGAGGAAAGGAAAAGATGGAGGCAAAAACAAACTAGAGCTTGTTTAGAAGCTGCCTGGTATGCAAGGACTGAGTACACACTTCTCTTTCCAAGCTTTATGGCCAAAGTCATGGATTATATTTCACTGCTTGGCACAGAATTCATCTTTTCACACTAAGACAAGGAGCCCTTTCTTCCCAGGTAATGAGAAGCTTGTTCCTGAAATAAATGGCCACATGGGGTCACTGAAGGAGGTTTACAGGTCTCCAGGGACTCTGGTTTTCATTAAAAGCAGGTGAGTCACCCCTACTCTGTTCTCCTCATTGCCCTTTATGCATTTGAACTATTTAAGCACTGAGGTTTTCCAAAGTAAAATTGTGAAACTAGTAGAAGTGAAGGAAATCGACTATGGAGCTCACCACACACAGGGGCTGAGACTGGCTATTTGGTGGATTTTTCTTAGTTCCTGTCCACTGGCTGCAACTGTACCCCAGGCTCTGAGGAAGGAGGTTCAAGACACTCTGACATGGGGCTCCTGACTCATCCGCTCCTGACTCCAGACCTCAGGCACAGTTTCTACATACTTGGGCACTTCGCATAAACCCCCAGATCTCTGAAAGGCATGTGGGAAGTAGAGCTTTCTGGGTGACAGGTATACCATCAGGCCTATTGACAGAACATCACCTTTGATTTGAGTAACCCTGACAACAATCTGTCACAGTGATAGACTCCTTACAGACTGCCTGCTCAGTGACTTGCAGATGCAAAATGGGAGTGGATGGGGCATCCCAGGAAGGGGGTGGGGTCATTTCAGCACCCGTCCATTCACCCCTATGTCTGCTCTATTTGCTAAGGACCAAACTAATGCAGTAAGGTCAGCAGGACAGAAAGGGCTATGGAGGCACTTGAACAATGATCAAGGAAAGTGCAAAAATGTTTTTTCCAGCCAGATTGCTTTCAGGATAAGGTCTGCCCAGTCAGCTGCAAGCTGCCAACTGAACCAGGCCCCTGGGACAAATCAGAGTATGTGTATGGTTTCAGCTATCACAAGAACAGTGCAGTCGAGTGCAGAAGGAGGAAAAAACAAAGCAAAGCAAAATGAGCGTGACCAACTTAAAAGAAATTAAAATGGGAACTATGTTTACTTTGGGGAAAATGAACCCACACTGTGAAATGTAAAATCACTGTTTATAAGGATTTTTTAACTAGAACCAAATAACAAGGTTTTACTATATGATGTAAGGCTACACTTTTCCAATTATGCTTTAATTTCGTTTACCAACAGCAGAATGAATTGTTTATTCTAGAAAACAGGCTTTTTTAATGTCAGTTGTGACTACAGATTTTTATTTCATCCTTTTAGTTAATAGGCACTGTGTGTGGCTTGGTATATACAGACCAAAAATTCAATCTTAAGGCTGTATTTGTTCATACTAATTTTGTAATCCACTTACACAAGAGCTGCTTCTGTCCCCAGAAGAGATGTGGAATATAAGGTGAATGAACAAAGTGGTAGGTGTTCACATTTCCTTTTGTTTTAACGTGCATCTTAGCTATTTCATCCTCATTAAGTAATGCTGTCTGTAATAGGGCACATGTGATGTTCAATCACAAATCACTCTTTCTGCAAGAGTGGGTGGGGCTGCCTGATTTTTACGTTGAGCTAGAATAGCGCAAAGACTCACCTGGAGATAAAAAGGATGTAAACTGATAGAAGATTTCTGTGTCCTTCTTCTGACCGCTGTAGCCCACAATGCTGCCGACCTCGAGCGGGAAGGCCTTGAGGAGAGCACCGGTGGCCAGGTCGTGCAGCTGCAGCGTGTTCTTCACATCGTGGAGGTAGCATAACACAAGAAAGTTGGACCTGACGCAGGCTACCCACTCTGGAAAAGCAAGGGGAGGAGAAAATCAATGGAGATTGGAAAAGCAGTGAAAAACTTTTTTCCACTAATGCTGGTTAATGGAGTTCCTCAAGTGAGGATCTAAAATAAAGAAACCTTACATTGAAGTTATTTGCTCAGTCTCCCCAAAATAATTTTTAAAATTATGCCTCAGTTCAGCAATATAGCTCATAGGGCCTCAATGGTTTAAAGAAAATATGGGGAAAGACCAAAGTCAATCATGCCTGTCAAAGAATAATCAATCTGTGTTAACTATGAGTACATCAGAATTATAAAACAGAAGTGAAAAAGAAAAGGACAAGGTGATTTGCAGCCTGTTGTTAAATAAAAGCTGACTTTGTAGCTGTACTTTATGATTCATCGGTAGTTATTATTCTCAATAGAGCATTCTGTTCTAATGATATAGAACGAATTCAACTGTGCTTCTCTCTGAATTGATGAGTTCCACCGAATAGTGAAGGTTTCCCTTCTGTGGTCTAAAGAACTTGTAATCTTTCAGAGGGAAGGTTATAAAAATATATCACCCCTCAACTCTCTGAGCGTTGATTTGCATTTCATTAGATCTACAAGTGAGATCAGATGGTAAAACACTGTGACTTTTAAAAGGCAGAAATGACTTTTAAATACCTTGGAAAATATTACATCTTTGATGACTCCCTATGTGAGTCCCTGTGTAACCTTTCTGACACCTGGAAGATACCCAGGGCACCCTACAGGGAGATTTCGACAGATGAGCTCAATTCATGGGCATGTAGGGAGGGCTCACTCAACGCTATTTTCACTCTTAAGGTGTGCAAAGGAAGGCGGAGCAGTCCTGCTTCAGTTTGGAGAGAAGCCATCAGGCTCCCATGTCCGTGAGAAACAGACTCCTTGCACAGAGATGTTAAGGAAACACCTTTCCATGACTTGTGGGTGTCTCACTCAAACAGAAATGAGGATCACAGTGAATGGAAGATTTTGAGTGAACAGATGAAGAGATTGCCTTGGAAAGAGCCCATTATCCTGTAAAACCCACCAGCCTGAGCACAGGTGTCTAATGCAAACCTGAGAAGCTTAGAGACAGTAAATTAACATCTGGAAGTCAGGAGAAGAGCTGCCTATGTGCTTCAGGGGAAGCGCCCAGGATAGGCTGCTGAATCAAGGCTGCAGATGTGGGGTTTGCAGGAAAAAACAGACATGGGGTCTTGGGCCCTGTCCAAAACACTGCCGACAGGTTCTAGAAGTTGGTGAGTGGTGCAGGGGCTGAGGAGAATCTCAAGTAAATACTCAGAGCAGTGCTTTCTCGAGGCTCAGGGGCCTGCAGAAACAAGGTCGGACAGGAGGGCCACCAGAAGCAGCCCTGAGAGTGAGCAGGAGTCAGCCGGCAGCCCACTCACCCTAGGCATGGCCAGGTTAATGTGCCGGCAGAGAGCGCACCTCCGTGAGCCAGGGGAGAAAGAGGCCCACCTTTCCCAGATGTGAATGTGGAAGTCGTCTGTCCCAGCATCTGTGCTTTAGTTCACTTAACATACATGTAAGGACTGCTTTAGCTGGGACAGGGCCACTTTACAAGTCTCAAAAGGAATTATTTTCCTAATGATAGATCTTAAATGTTTTGTCCCATTTCAGCCCAGCAACAGAAGTTCATCTCCCAAGGAAACTGGTTACTGAAGGTACTCAGCTCTCTTTCATGTAAAACACTGCAGCAACATTAGTGAGTCTTGGTCTCATCAAATCCAGCTTTCAGGAAATAAATGACTTGTAAAATAAATGCCATTTTAGAAAAAGTTCAGAGAAAGTGAATAAAAGGGAGAATAAAGGCTCTCTGAAGCACAACAGACATGGAAGGAAGCGAGCTGAAGATGTTAATGTGGCTGAATGCACACAAGAGCAATGGCAGTGGATTTCAATTAAATCTGACAATAGTGTATTCTCTTTGCTCATAAGGGCTGCAAATTCATTCGAAGAGCCACAAAAGGTGTAATGCCAATAAAGGTTTTTCAAAAGCTAAAAGCTAGGAATCCTGCACCTAAATGGTTTAAAAACTAAATGTAATGATTACTGTCATAAAAACAACTGATTTAGGGCCCTCCCTCGTGGTGCAATGGGTTAAAGCATAGCACTACAAAGAGAGCAGTAGCTGCCTCATCACGAGTTCAATCCCCAGCCCTGGAGGTGACCACATGGCCTGGCAGACCTCGCCTGTCCTGCCTGCTGCTTCCCTCAGCCTGCTTCAGTCAATCTGCCTGTTCTGCTCCCCACTCTGTCTCTGGTGCATCCTCTTACCACTCCTGCATATCTGGCCTGTACCCCAGTTCTATATGCATAAATAAATACATCTTAAAAAAAAAACTGATTAAAACAAGATGCAGTGAATACCTTTGAAAGTCTAGATACACCTTTGCCATTTTTTATGAGGACGTTGAGGCCATGAGAGCACAAGTCATGCTGCTCCATCACTGCACTCTCAATGGCTGGGGGTGGGCTCCTTCCTTGGAAAGGGTCACCAGTCACCATGTGAGTGACAGCTGTGTCAACCCGGGGCCTTTCTCAGCTGACACACAAGCTTGGCATTCCAGCTCACAAGTCTTACCTAGAACATCCTTCTCGTGCTCGGGAACAAGCACTTTCCACTTGCTCTCCGCAGGCTCCGTGAAGTCGATGTTGATCAGGCGATAGTTGGGCGAGTGACGATTTGTCTTGAATGTGAACACTGTCCCCTCGTTGGTCACGTAGTCGTACTCTCCCTCAAAATTGTCTATCAGCTTTACCCACTTCAGGATGCCTGGGGAGAGAGTAAGCACCTGTCACCTGTTGGTGTTTAAGGTGGCATGAGGTGTGTGCAGGTGCGTGAGGGTGTGTCTTAAACACAAAGCAAACACAGTATTGGCAAGGTCTAAGGCAAAAAAGTGAGCAAAGTCAAGGGTAGGTGAATTTTAAGGTTTTTAAGACATGGGGAGAAACTACTTTTCTGGGAAAACCTGGCGAGGCAGCAGCGTGAAGGAACTCCCCTCTCAAGCCCGCCCTACCTGCGAGTCCTCCTCCACCTGAGCACATCTCCAAGCGAGCACCCCTCTCTACATCTCGATGCCATCGCGGCATTCCAAACTCCCGCAGGCCCTCCTGGCCTGTGGGAGTGACACTCACCTGAGAAAAATTCACCCCTAGCCCTGACTTTAAGTAAGTAGCTGCAGACATCTGGCAGGTGAGAAGAGGTTGCAGTTGTACAACTCCATCAAGAGGGGGCAGGGAGGCTGCTAAACACCCCTGGGCCGGCCCCCACAACAGCCAGAGGCAGCCTGAAAAAGTCTGAGTGCTGAGGCCAGAAGCTTTGGCTTCCTGCTTGGCTCCCCCACTGCTCCCCTTGATCTGGTCAGTACAGCGGCCACCACAAAGTCTTTATACTCTGAACTGGCCCATGTGGGCAGCTTCTTAGAAACTTCCCCAATACACATTAGGAACATCCAAGTTCCTTTCCACGGATACCACCGTCCTGCACGTCACAGTTCTCACTCCCTTAGCCAGCCTCAGCCTGCCTGGACGTTCACTCACCCCCACCCTGCAGCGACACTGGCTGGTGTTAGGTTCTCGCAGACACACTTCACACGCCTGTCCCAGGCTGTCTTCCTCTGCCTGGCTCACTCTCAATCTAACTGGCTCACACAACTAGTCAGCACCCAGCTAACCTTCACAGTACTCCTCCCCGGTTTATTATTTATATGTTTTAATGCATTCCTTAATACACAGAACCTAAATAGTGTGGCAAGTACTACATAGGTACAAAATAAAGTCGTTATTCAATACAGGGAAGACACTTTCCAGTCTGTTAGCCCTAAGAACTAGTGTAAAATGCTCTAGAAAGAAATCTTCAGTTGCCCATCATCCTTTAAACAACAACTCACTGGAAACCACTTTATATCTATATCTATCTATATATGAAAGCAAAAAAAAAAAAAAAAAAAAAAAAAAAAAAAAAGCACCGAAGACATTTGCTTCACAGGAATCAATCAATGTTCAGAGAACATTCTCAAAAGCTTTATATGCAAGTTCCAAACCACTGGAAGGTAATCAGTGCCAGATCTAAGCCATTCTCTAATGATTGCTCACTTTCAATTTTCACAGTCAAACTGATGCACTCATCTGGATAGTTCATTTGTATTCCTAGAATCTTGTCAGGCAATTTAAAATTCATTGTCTCTTTCATCTCTATAGCATAATTTGTTCCTGATTATTACATAATCTGTTATTGAATTAAGTTTATCAGGGAAAATATAATCCCCTGGGAGAGAGCATTTTTCCAGTCCAACATAACTAGATTAAAACTCCAGCTCTGCCACTAGCTAGGTGTGTAACCTTGAATAATCTCCTGATCCCTGCTTAGCCTCATTTTCTGAATTGTAAACCAGGAACAGGTAAATGTGAAAATTATTTTAAAGTGACTACTAATAGTCATACTACAAAACCTATTTTAAAATAAACAACTGGAATAAAAATTGTTAATCAGCAGTTAAAAAAAAATCTGTAACTCTCCCACATGTTAGTAATAACCAGTTAGGAAGTTTGGGGTATAGGGTACCTCACTTACAATTAGGAGCAAAATTAATAAAATATTTAGGAAAGCACTGAACACGAAATGTGGAAAAAAGCTCTAAAACTTTTTCTAAGGAATGTAAAACCATCACCACCATCCCAACGCACATAACACGAGATACATACCAAATCCCTAAATGGGGAGACAGTATAATTACCCCAGAGGTAATTATAAATTTAATACAATTCTAATAAAAGTTCAAATGAGACACTGATGAATTTGATAACATCTTTTTTTGATAACATCATTTTAAAGCTAAATTGGGAGAATAAGCATCTAAGAGCAGTCAATACATTTTTGATAACAGAATGAGAACAAACTTCTGTTACTCTAACACTGAACAATATCCCCTCCCTCCTAAAGGTTGTTGGAAAAGTCATGATGTAGTTTTTATAAAAGATTAAGCTCTGCATCAAAGTTACAATTTTTTTTTACAGTGATATATACTGCTAAGTTAAAAAACAGATGATCCATTCAATGGTAACTACATCTTAGTTTACAAAAGCGTGACACTTCAAAAGAAAAAAAAAAGCACTACTTCTCTTTAGAAGAATGAAAATTTAAGCCAAAAATTAATTGGCAATGCAAAATTTTCAGAATTCAGAAAGGCATATTAGTTTATAATAAGGATGAAATACACTTTTCTGGACTATGACATTTGTAGATACAGGAGCTTGGTTCAGCAAAATGTCAGGATCCTTAAATGTTCCCCTGACAGTAAACCATTTCCTGATGTGAAACCTTTATTTCTCAGAGTAACCATCTTATGGTTTATGCCTGAAAAGGTCTTGCAGTCATTGCAGTGATATTTATTATAATCATTCACCCTGCAAAAAAGTCGCTGCGGTAGCTGTCAGAGACAAAACACAGCAGAACGTTCCTCAGTACTTCCGTACATATAGACATGTAAACAACTGACAAAAATAAATAAGCAGGCTTCAATGGACACTAAAACAAGTAGGTTTTGGTCATTATCTGCTACCAAATTCTGCAAGCATTACATTTAGTCACAAATACCTACTACAGCTCATAGATTCATTCTAATTTAGGAATGGAGCTCCAGATTTCTACAAATTCAGCTGCAAATTTTGCCAAACTACTCAAAGTATATACTCTCACAGGGTAGTACTTTTAAATAGCTCATGTTGAACTTTGTTCTCTGAAACCTGTGCTTCTCAAGGGCTTTGTCATAAATAAATCAGAAAAAAAATGGTAGTTCACTGCAGAGGGGTGCTCACTTAAATCTGCTGTTTATGAGATACAACACTATTGATTTAAATGGAAAACAGAAAAAATACTTTGCCAAGAGACATGGAGCATCTTCCTAACCATCTTTCTTTTGCACACCATTTCCGGGGTCCTTTGTCTGGCAAGAACATTATTCAGTCTCAAGCCAAAAGAGTTCAGCTCCCAAACATCTCCATATTGATACTAACATTACATAAACCTGCTTCTTGGTGAGGGACCAACTTGCTTATTGAGTGAATATCAAAAGCAAAATAAGTCATCTTATATGTTTTCCCAAGAGCTTTTTTTTTTTTTTAAATCAATGGTATTAATAGTTTCACTAAGAGTGTTTTAAGTTAACAAAAGGAGGTGAAAAGCGCTTTCATGCTTTACAAAACACTGAGAACCTGCATTCGCCATGATAACAAGTGGAAAGCTGGGTCACGCTCTGAGGCGCGGGGTGTTTTCTCAGCCAGACACCTTCCTTCTGCCTCAGCCACACCCTGATGGCTAGAGTGGGGGCTTGGGATTCAACTGGTCTGGGTCTGATCTTTAAATGGCTTTCAGAAAGCTAACTGGTCCCACTAGCTTCAGCCTCCTGGCGATAAAAATACATGTCCTTACTACACTGTTGAACAGACCAAATGAAATGTAGTTTCCCTTCATTTATGTACTAATAAACCTGTCCTGAGTTGAAAATGTGCTAAGTCACAAGTGAATTTCACAAATCTAACCTACTGAACATCATAGCTTAGCCTCATCTATCCTCATCGAGCCCAGAACATATACTGTGGCCTATGGGGGGGACAGAATCATCTACCATCATGCCTACACATGTGCCACATAGTTCATGTAATTTACTGACCACTGTACTGAAAGCGAGGAACAGCCTCTACAACACTGGCAGTTTACCGGGCGGTCATGGGGCAGACAACAACTGTGGTTTGTGGCATATGCAGCATTGAGATGTGGCATATGCAGCATTGAGACGGGAAGACACACTGAACATTACTGGTCAGGGAAAAGATCAAAATTTCAAGTATGCTTTGTACTGAATGCTTCTGCACCACCACAAAGCTGAAAAGTAGTAAGTTGTGAACTGTATGTATCTTCTCTCAGAGTATATGAGTATGGAAGAGGATATACAGGAAAACTAAATAAATGAAGAGTCAACTTCTAAAATCTATTTCCCACCTTTTTCAACAGTCACTATTCTAGAAAAAGTCATATGCACTAATGTTAAAATTAATAAAATCACCAATTACTAGTACTTCTTATTTTGCCTCAAAATAAAGCAGGTTTTTTTCTTACTCCTACACTGTCTTTTGGGGGTCCAATTCTGTTTTGCACCCCTACCCTTCAACAAACACATGCTTCTACTTATGCCCTGTCTCTCACAGAAGACTCTTCCTCCCTTGTGATGTGGCTTCTGACTTTTAGATGACTTTGCTAAACTTTGGACAACTCATTCATTAGAGTTTGCTGAATGTTTATCTCCCTTCCACTCCACCCCCAAAGATGCCCAGACCAGTAGGGAGTCAAAACTAACTCAGCTCCCTAGAAATTAGAGGTCACCTGCCATGCATCAGTCAGAGATGGATGCTTGAACAATTTGTGTGTTGGATGAATAATGACCTTCCTTTTATCATTAATGTTAGCATGTGCTGTATATTAATTCCTCATGTAGGATAAAGTCAGTTTTCTTAAATGACATGAAAGCATTAAAACGAATACATGCTGAGCCCTGAAAATTTCATCAATCTAAAATGGTCAAATGTCCACCAAGAAAGGAAAACCAGAGACAGGTTAGTAGAAATCTGGGTGAGATACAGAATAGGCTGATATTTCCTTACAAAAACCAATGATATCAGCATCCTCCATCTTTCCCTCCAAATCCTTGATAAATTCTACAACACGAGCAAAGACCCTGTTAGACCTGATTTAAGGATGGCTACAGTGAAGCAGAA